CTTGGACCAGGGTCCTCCCCTTCTTTTCAGGTTTTCTGCAAAATAATTCAAAAGCTCACTTTTTTCTTCTTTGATGGAATGGAAAAAGGTTTGAAACCTCAGGGTCTTTTGTGAGATAAGGTTCTTGTCTTCTAGCCAGTCCTATACCAGAGCATAAGTTAAAATCTTGCATGAAACCCTAGGCTACCTGAATTCAATGACAAAACTCCCATTGATTTCAATAATGTCAGGATTTCACCCTTGGTCCAGGACTGTTTTTGTAAAGCTATAGGCCCCGGGCCTGCATGCATGTGAATTGAGACAAATTCTACAAATGTATATATGACTGAAGGATAATGATGAGCACTCTTAGCCATTACAGTGGCTAGGATTCTTTACTAAGAATGCATTTTTTTCATGCTAAAAATATGTGCTTTCACAGTTCAGTAAATACAGTAAATTAGCTATAAGCTTTCTAAGGTGAATTTGTTTTCATATAGTTTTGCTGAGGGATGCTCATTCCAGTTCCATTTTAAACTTTAAAAAAGAAATTAAAAGATTTCACAGATTCTGATATTCTAATTCTTCTTCTTAGACTCTAAGGCAGGAGTGGGCAAAATGTGGCTCGTGGGCCGGATGTGGCCCACCAGGCCATTCTATCCGGCCCATGGGGGCCCCTGAATAATTTATAAAATTAGTATTTATCTGCCCCTGGCTGCCTGTCATGTGGCCCTTGATGGCTTGCCAAAACTCAGTAAGCGGCCCTCTGCCCAAAATAATGCCCACCCCTGCTCTAAGGCCATGTCCAGACAAGCAGAGGCATGCTTTTGGAGAGGCACAAATAGTAGCGGCACAAATTTGTGCTGCTACTTTGTGCCACAGAACATGCCCCTGCACCTGCCCTTTGTTGCAGGCCATGTCCAGCTCCTGGCTGGACTCCATGTGTTGCAGGGGGTGGGGGAGGGATCTGTCTGGGGCACAGGGTGCCTCAGCATGAGGCTAGCTGGCAGCAAGCCCCTGCACTGAGTCACCCTGAGCCCCAGCCAGCCGGGGACCAGAAGCAAGATACAGTAGTCCTGGGCTGCCTGTGCCTCTGTCTCCACATGCTACAGAGCCCCTGTGCTGGGGCACGCTGTGCTCCAGTGCACCTTGAGGTGGAGGAGCAGGCAGCCCTGGGGTGGTACTTCTCTGTCTCTGCATGCTTTAGCATGGGGGCTCCGCAGCGCGTGGAGATGGAGGAGCAGTCAGCCCTGGGCTGGTCCTCAGCTGCCTGCTCCCCATCTCCATGTTTGTCCTGGTGCATGCTATCTTTGTGTGCTTTGCGCTGCTTTTTTTCTGGGGTCTTTTTTTGCTACCAGGGAATTAGCAATGTGGTGCACTGCTAATTTTGCCCCTGCCCCTTGCAAATTAGTAGTGCCTGCACAGTTTAATGTGCAATGCATGCAGTCTATGACAGCATAAAGGGGTTTGTGACACCACAAAACACATGAGCCTTCACGTCTGGACACGCTTTATGATGCTACCCTGCCCTGCCTTCTGCTTGACTTCAGATTAACAAAGATAACTACCCCTCTCTTCTTATTAAGATGATAAGCCACCATTAAACATTAAATTATCCCTTCCTTTTGGCTTTTGCCTCTCAAGTTCCAAGAGCAACAATTCATAATCAAATTACTTTTAAAACTGACTTTTCAGACAAAAAATTATAGCAATCTTATATATGTAATTTGGGCATTCTGAATACCAGAATCCATGAAACTGATTTTTTTTGCTAGGCTAATAGGAACTGATATAATTATGCTGTGTGTCATCACTGAAAATACTATTTTCCAGTCATATACAAAGGAAAGGAAACAATACTATAGTCTTCATTCACTTTCTTGGCAGAGGCCAAAAAATGATCCATGATCACCATAACAAGCTGATTATTGCTAAAAGATACTTTAAAAGTCAGTAGTAGATATAAAGACAAATAATACATTGTCTTGAATGACCAGGAACATAGGCTGGGTCCACACTGCTAGTCAGGGGGCCCCCCAAGGACACCCTTGAACCCAAATTTACCTTTTATCCAAACTGTCAAATTTCAGGCCATCCTCCACCTGCACTTTTGAGTGCTCCGTTTAGCACTGCTGAACTCGTAATACCTGACAGTGGATGAGATGTCTCACTTGCTTCCCTCCCCAGTGTGGATGATCTAACTCATCATAGAAGGGACAGGTCATGGGAAAGCCCACAAAACCCACAATTCCTTCCTCCAGGCCACAGTTTCTTGTCATGGACCTCTGGGGATCAAATTTTAGACTTGGCAGCACAAGGTTCAACTGGTGCTCAGCCAAATCCTGCAGCCCCTGGACAGGAAAACAGCCATAGTCAAAATTCTCACTGAAGGCAGGGGAGCCATATGTTAATACTTGTGTTATGCCATACTGCAAAACAACCTCTTTTAGCCCCTATTTTAGATGCTTCTATAAACACAAAGAAATGCAAAACTCCAGAACTCTTGGTTTAGAGATGATACCTTTGATTAGACCAACTAACAAATTGCAAGGAAAAAACATTTTTTTTTTGCGATTTCTTAGTTGGTCTAATCAAAGGTATCATCTGTGAACCAAGAGTTCTAGTTTTGCATTTCTTTTTTGTCTCAGACCAACATGGCTACCAAATACATCTCTAAACAGAATAATAATTTAAAATATTTTGTGATTGAAATAGTCTTATCTATTGTTAATGGAAACCAATAGTTTTCCCTAATGCAAGAATTCACTTTACCTCTTCCATAAGGACCAATTCATGTACCTTGGCAGGTAGCAATTCAAACCAGACTTGTTTCCTGAAGGAGACCGTTGTCTTAAAGCTAAAAGCTTCACAGAGTTCGGATGCTGCAGGTGAAATCATGGTCTTGAGCAACTTATAATTTCTATTTTATTCACCCATGAAAAAGTATCTTAAGAAGCAGGGTACCTAACTTGCAGTTTGCTAGAGGCTGGGCCATAGGGATTCAGCTGTTACAGGGATTCAGTAAGTCTGGCACAAGGAGGGAATGAAGATGTGGGGGAAAGGACTTTTCAGAGGAATTGGAAATACTTGGGAAGTCAGCTGTTGAGTAGTATACCTCTATGTAAAGTCACACCAGTTATGCTTTGAGATGTTTAGTGCTCATTACATTTACCAAGAAAAAATCTTTAAGTGTCTTCCTGCGGTTTAGTACTTGTGCATGCAAGGCCTGTTCATTCTGCATTCAACACCCCCAGTGAAATGCAGAATCCAGCCCTACTGGGCCTGCTTTTGTGCAGCTCGATTGTTGCCTAGTGCTCGCTGCAAGAGCAACCTGCACAAAAAGCTTTTGCGTGTTTCTGCCACTTTGCTTCAGCAACCAGATGCGGGGTTTCATTTGTTGCATTTTTCTAAACTTCTCCTTTAATTCTTCTGGGCTGTGATTAAGAAGAGAAACTGTTTTGTTTTAGGATCCCCAAATCTGTGTGGGTTTTTATTTGGGGGGAGGGCAGGGAAGAAAGGAGGATGTGAGGGGGGAAGAAAGGGAGGGCAGGGGTAGAAAGGAGGGTGCAGGGAGGGTGAAGGCAGGAGGGTGCAAGGAGGGCAATCAGAGAAAGGACTGTGGGGGAGAAAGGGAGGGTGCTGGGGAACGAATAGGAGGGGGAGAAAAGAGGGTGGGGGGAAGGGGGTGAGATGGAAAAAGGAGATTGCAAGAGGGAGGAAGGGAGGACAGGGGGAGACAGGAGGATGCAGAGGGGAGGAAAGGAGGGCAGGTGGAGAAAGAAGGGTGGGGGAAGAAAGGGATGGTGCAGGGATGGGATGGGATGGGGAGAAAAGAGGATGGGGAGAGGAGGGAGGGAAAAGGAGGGTGCGGGGATGGGATGGGAGGAGAAAGGGATGGTGGAAGAGAAAGGCTGGTGGCTTCGTGTCTTTAATCAGTGCCATCTGAACCGCGCAGGCTCCTTGGAGTCATGAAAGGAGCCAAGAGAGCTCTGCTCAACTTTTCGCCCTGGCAAGTGTCAGTGCTTTCAGCTCCAGAAACACCCCCGTTCCCCCGCAGAGACGATGGGAGTGCGCGGGGTGCCGGGCCGGCCAGCAGCTAGAAGGCGGGAGGCCGAGGGCCCGCGCCGTCCCGCAGCAGCGGCCAGGGGCGAGCGGGGAAGCGCATCCCGGGGCAGCCCCTCATGCCGGCTCCTCCGCGTTTCCCGGACGCGGATCACGGGGCGGGGGGGGCACAAGGCGGCCGCTCCCGGCTCCAGCAGCCAAGTTGGGAAGAAGTTGAGGAGGAAGGGGGAAGCGGGGTGAGAGGCAAACCCGCTCCTGGAGGGCAGCAGGGGCGGAGCCCACGTGTGCCCGCCCTGGGCAGCCCCGCTGCCCCCGGGGACCTGCTGCCCTCGGCTCCACCGCGCGGGGTCTTTGTGCGGCGGCGGGCCGGGGCCGGAGCCGAGGAGGAGCCAGAGCAGCCCCGGGAGCGGCCGATTCGGCGGCAGAAGAAGCCCCGCCCGCCGCCTGG